GTAATTTGATAGAGATCATACTAAATTGTAGATTGCTTTGGGTAGAATGGCCATTTTCACAATATTTACTCTTCCAATTCAAGAGCATGGGATATCTTGCCATTTCTTTAAGTCATCTTTAATTTCCTTAATCATTGTTTTGTAGTTCTCTGCATATAAGTTGTTCACCTCCTTGATCAGATGTATTCCTAAGTATTTTATTTTTTTGGATGCGAGTTTAAAAGGGATTGTTTCTTTGCTTTCTTTTTCTGATATTTCATTGTCAGAGTAAAGAAATGTAGCTGATGTCTGTATGTTAATCTTGTATCCGGCTACCTTGCTGAATTCTTTTATCAGCTCTAGTAGTTTTTGTGTGGAGTTTTTAGGGTTTTCTATATATAGCGTCATGTCATCTACATGTAGTGACAGTTTTACCTCTTCTCTTCCAGTTTGGATCCCTTTTATTTCTTTTTCTTTCCTGATTGCTGTGGCTAGGACTTCCAAGACTATGTTGAATAGAAGTGGTGAGAATGGACATCTTTGTCTTGTTCCAGATTTTAGTGGGAAAGCTTTCACCTTTTCATTATTTCACTACACTGACTGTGGGTTTGTCTTAAATAGCTTTTATTATGTTGAAATATTTTCCCTCTGTACCCACTTTGGTAAGAGTTTTATCATAAATGGGTGTTGATTTTTATCAGATGCTTTTCCTGTGTCTGTTGAGGTGGTCATGTGATTTTTGTCCCTTTGTTGATATGGTGTATCACATTGATGATTTGCTTATGTTGAATCATCGTTGTGTCCCTGGGATGAATCCAACTTGATCATGGTATATGATCTTTTTTATGTGTTGTTGGATTCTGTTTGCTAATATTTTGTTTAAGATTTTTGCATCTATGTTCATCAACAGTATTGACCTGTAATTTTCTTTTTTGATAGTGTCATTGTCTGATTTTGGTTTCAGGGTAATGGTAGCGTCACAGAATGAGTTTGGAAGTACTCCTTCCTCTTCAGTCTTTCGGAAGAGTTTGAGAAGGGTCGTTATGAGTTTTTCTTTGTATGTTTGGTAGAACTCCCCAGTGAAGCCATCTTGTCCTGGACTTTTGTTTGCAGGGAGGTTTTTTTTTTTATTGCTGAATCCATTTCACTTCTAATGATTGGTCTGTTCAAGTGATCTACTTCCTGATTCAGTCTTCGTGGACTGTATGTTTCTAGGAACTTGTCCATTTCTTATAGGTTGTCCAATCTGTTGCCTTACAGTTGTTCATAGTATTGTCTTAAGGTTTTTTGTATTTCTGTGGTGTTGGTTGTAATTTCTCCATTTTTTGCATTCGCCAGCCCCTTTTCCTCGTAAGATACTCAGGCTTGCTGTAAATGCTAAACCTGCCCCCTCCATGTGCTGGAACTTGCTCGTTTGTCTTAGTGGCACTGGTCCACAAAGTTACCAGTGGCACAATCCCAGGGTCTCTGCCTGGGTCTGTAAACAAGTCTCAGTCCAGCCTGTGATGTTGTGGGGCCCCACATCCACCCAGGAGCTATGCACCAGCGATTGTGGTGGCTATGACTGAGCGAACCCCACCTCTCTTCTCACAAGACCGAGCCCACCAACAGTGGTGCTGAGGAGGCCCTCGAGCGAGTGGAGATAGCAGCTATGGAGCAGCTGCATTGAGCCCCTCCCCACCATGCGCACCAGCAGTGTTGCTTTTTATGGGGGTCCCATGCTGTTCTGTTCTGCACACACTCCCAGCCACAGCCCGCGCCACACTCCAGCCCCTCTACACAGTAGGCCCCAACCCTCTCCTGGGGCTTGTCACCCAGCCCCAGCAGCCAGTCCTGGCCTGCTCCCTACCGGCTCGCATCTAGGGCTAGGGATCGCGTCTAGGGCTAGGGATCGCAGGGGCCCTTTGTGCCGGTTTCTCTCAGTTCTCTCTGCCAAGCAGCTGCTGTTTTCTCCTCCGAGCTCCGAGCTTTGGAAGCCCCCTGTCTGTCCCTGCTGACCTCCCCACTGGAGGGGGGGGGGCGTCCCAGTACAGAGGCGCTTTTCCTTGTTGGGTGCTCCCTCCCTGCAGGACAGGACCTGCACCCACTTCCTTTTACTTTTTTTTCTCCCCTACCGGTTTTTGTAAGGAATCTACTTGTATATTGGAGTGAGAGGTATTCTGCAAAGGTTCAGTAGGTGTTCTTTGCGAATGGATGAGTCTGTGGATGTAATTTTCGGTGTAAACCTGGGAGGGGGTGAGCTATGCCTCCTTCTACTCCGCCTTCTCAGCACTCCCTCCAAAGTCCTATTAGAATCTAAGTCAATGATTTCTTTTTCTTTATTAGACGCTTTTCCTTCCGTCCCGAACCAGATCCTTACTGTCAAGCTAAATATACTTTCTGTCCCACTGGCTCCGCTATCCCTGTGATGAAGGATGATGATGTCATTGAAGTCTTTCGGTTACAGGCCCCAGTGTGGGAATTTAAATACGGAGACCTCCTGGGACACATGGTAAGGCTGCATCTTGCTCTTATAACTGGTTAATTAAATGATTTGGTTATTAAGTGGATTTGATGGAATGATCACTATTTTAAGGGCTGATTTTAGACCATATTTTGTTGGTGCTCCTCTTAGCATATTCAAAGTGAGTAGTCAAAGAAAATCATCAGAATTTATGATCATGACCATGATAACAGCAGTTGCTTTAATCCCTTTTAATATTCTAAATCCAAACCCAACTCCTGTACCCAGGCCCTGGAAAGAAAGAAAGGAGGAGGCCCCAAGGAAGGAGTATGGCAGGCAGAAATCACTTCTTCGTGCCCAGTCCCTGTTGAACATACTTTTCCTAGGTGAGCTCACCATTTGAGCCTCTCATCACCTGTGACGTACACAGACTTCCTTCTTGAGTCTGTGATGGGGAGGCTTCTCGTCCTCATTCTAAGCTGTGTCTGAGCTGAGCTGCAGTGGCCAATACCAGAGTGGATAAGAGCTGGGAGTTTGAGGAGGCACAGAGGAGACATGATAACATAGTGGAAGAGGAACAGCTGTTCTATTCAGTTTGCATTGTGGGGTCACACTTTCCCCCATCTGGTTCCTGAACCAGTGGTCATTTCACAAGTGCTTTTATACTTGTATGGTCTTTACACAGAAAATCATGCATGATGCCGTTGGGTTCAGGAGCACTTCAACTGGCAAGAACTACACAATGGAATGGTATGAGCTTTTCCAACTCGGAAACTGCACATTTCCCCATCTCCGACCTGAAATGAACGCCCCTTTCTGGTGTAATCAAGGAGCTGCCTGCTTTTTTGAAGGAATTGATGATATTCACTGGAAGGAAAATGGGACGTTAGTTCTGGTAGCAACCGTATCAGGTGAGTTTCAAAGATACGGCAGTATCTGGTGATTGCATCGATACCCAAATGGTAGACATTAGTTTCATTGAGGCATTTCAGTAATGCTCTACTTTTAGAGGTCAACTTACAAAATGTACTTCTGAAGTTCACTAACCTTTGACCCACATTATTACTCATTCAGAACTTCACCTTATCTATAACTTCTTCATTCTCATGGTAAAAAATAAATGAAATGATAAAAAACGGTTTTATTTATTTCTGAGTAAAACAATAGAGGGAAATCCATAAAATGCTTGAATTGATTAAGGGGCCTGTTAATTGTATCTGTAAAAAGGCTTTTAGTGATGGCGAATCAAAATGTTTTTATGTCAAGAAATAATAATAGCTACCACTCATTTGAACTGACTCTGGGCCTGGCAGTGTTCTGGGTGCTTTTACATAAATCACATCATTTATCATCACAACAAACCTCCCCCCAGCACCAAATTACTATGTTTTTCCCCATTTTGGGGAACTCAAGGCACAGTGAGGTAAGAGGCACACAGCTAAGTGGGACTCCAACTCTTGCAGCCAAGCCTTATTGACCATTTTCTTAACCACTTCACTGCATTGCGTCCCAAAACATACATGATCTTATGCATTTGAGGCCCTTCAACCATAAGACTTGAGGAAATTATCATGCTTTGCACTTGTATAGCTCTTTACAATACATTTCAGAATACGTCAGCTCACAGTTCAGTGGGGTAGGATAAGGTACCCTTCTTCCTTTAACAAATAAGGACTTGAGGCTTTCCAGACGGTGTGACTTTCCTGTCTCTTAAGGTCACAGCTAAATGTAGAGCCAGGAATAGAATTGGTGTCTTCATTTTAATTTTTTTCCTTTTTCTTTTTTTTTAATTGAAGTATAGTTGACATACAATATTATATTAGTTTTAGATGTACAACATTCAGCATTTATATACATAACAAATTGATCACCATGATAAGTTTAGTAACCATCTGTCACCTTACAAGGTTATTACAATATTATTGACTATATTCCCTGTGCTTTGCATTACATCCTCACAACTTAATTACTTTATAACTGGAAGTTTATAACTCTTAATCCCCTTCACCTATTTTGCCCACCCCCACTTCCCTCTTAACCACCAGTTTGTTCTCTGTGCCTATGGGTCTGTTTTCTGTTTTGTTGGTTCATTTGCTTTATTTTTTAGATTCCACATATAATGAAATCATACAGTAATTTGCCTTTCTTTGTCTTGCTTTCTTCACTAAGCATAATACCCTCTAGGTTCATGTTGTTGCAGATGGCAAGATTTCATTTTTTTTAAATGAGTAATTGTCCATCATATGCGTATATGTGTCGGGATGTGTGTGTGCATATATATACACCACATCTTTATCCATTCATCTATCAGTGGACACTTAGGTTGCTTCCATATCTTGACTATTATAAATAATGGTGCTACGAACATTGTGGTGAATATATGTTTTCAAATTAGTATATTTATTTTCTTTGGGTAAATATCCAGAAGTGGAATTGCTGGATCATATGGTTGTTCTGTTCTTAATTTCTTTGAGGAACCTTCATATGGTTTTCCATAGTGGCTGTACCAATTTACATTCCCACCAACAGTGCACAAGGGTTCCCTTTTCTCCACGCCCTGGCCAACACTTGTGATTTGTTGTCTTTTTGGTAATAGCCATTCTGACAGGTGTAAGATAATACCTCATTGTGGTTTTGATTTGCAGAATTGGTGTCTTTGAAATGTAATCTGGAAATCTTTTAACCATATACATCATGCTGTTTTCTGATCTTGTTTTCTAATTTATGTGCCCCAAACCATCCCAGCAATATAAAAGCCTGTCTTTTTTTTTAATAATGCTCAGTATAATAGCTATCCTTTTATTTGAGGCCAGTTCACATCTCTCCTTTCTCCATTTCCACCTACCTCATTAGCTGCACATTCTTCCTTCTAACATCAAAGTATGATCATACGAACAAGTGATCCCTTTTTTTGTAAAAGAGTTTGTGATACGCCAGTACTTAAATCTTTTACGTCATCCATGTGCCTTGTGATTAATCCTGCTCATTGACCTCTTTTCATGTTACAAAATAGTGTTTTGGAGTATTCTTACCTCTTCATTACAGCAGTGGCTTTTCAAAGCTGAAGAACTCTTAAGAACAGTATCCCCCATTCTAAGACAACAGGATATATATTATTCCACAATTTTAATACCATAAGACTGATAAAGGCAGCCACTCCATTCTGTAGGACTTGTTTTTATGGACTCAAGTTGCAGTAACCTAAGAAAGGTTCACACACAGTGACAAAGTGAAACGTTGGGGCCAAGCTCTTTTGGGGCCAGATGTGGTTGTAACCATGCAGGGTTCAGTGTTTTGTTAACATTTGGAGAGATTTCTTGTCTGGTACCAGGTGGTAGGAGAGAGTGTTAGCCATCCTCCAGTCTGTATAATCCATGAACGTGGCCAAAACCAAAACCATGGAAAAATCTGTGTGGTGGGCAGGAAGGTTGTAAGCAGAATGCCAACAGCTGCAGTACAGGGAGAAAAAGGAGGTTCCAAGTATTCAGGGTGGATGGGGGTACAGTGCTTCCTTGTCAAGTTCCCGAGGCAGCTGTTCGTACTGTACACACACCATGCTCTGTGACAGAGAAGCTTTGCGCTGCCCCCTCCTCAGTTCTTAGACTGTGCCCCATTCACTCTTTCCTCTTCCACAATTTCTCCCTTGCTTTCTTTTCTCTTTTGCCTCTGAATCCAAAATGTGTTGAGTTGGGTAGAGAAGGAGGGCTTCTGCATGTGTATAATTTTGCTTTTGACTGTAACTTAAGTGACTATAGAATTAGTATGTCAGACTTACCTTTATACACCTATTGTATATAATGTTTACAGTTTAGAAATACCTTGTGTCTTGAAAAATGGAACAAAAATTGGCTGAGCTTGGATTCTTATTGTGAGATGCAGGTTTGAAAACTCAGAAACTATTGTTTATTCATGGAGTCATAACCTAAATCTGGTTAGAACATTTTACTTAAAACTGGCATGATTAGCTTCAATGTTCACGTAGTGATTTTTTTTCTTTTAACTAGGAAACGTGTTTAACAAAATGGCAAAGTGGGTAAAACAAGACAATGAAACAGGGATTTATTATGAGACATGGACTGTCCAAGCCAGCCCAGAAAAAGGCGCAGAGACATGGTTTGAATCCTACGACTGTTCCAAATTTGTGTTAAGGACATATAAGAAGTTGGCTGAACTTGGAGCAGAGTTCAAGAAGATAGAAACCAACTATACAAGAATATTTCTTTACAGTGGAGAGCCTGCTTATTTGGGAAATGAAACATCTATTTTTGGGCCAGCGGGAGACAAGACTCTTGCCTTAGCCATAAAAAGATTTTATTATCCCTTCAAACCACATTTGACAACTAAAGAATTTCTGTTGAGTTTCTTGCAAATTTTTGATACAGTGGTTATACACAGACAGTTCTATTTGTTTTATAATTTTGAATATTGGTTTTTACCCATGAAATTCCCTTTTATTAAAATAACATATGAAGAAATCCCTTTACCAAACAGAAACAAGACACTCTCTGGTTTATAAAATCTTAATTCTATTTTTTTTTCTACTAGCTCATCAGTTTTTCAGGGAGTAGTTCTACATATGTGGATTTCTTAGACCTTCCTTTCTTGAGGAAGAAATGTAAAATGCACAATGGCACAGTGCTGCATAATAATATCTCAGGAATTTTTTTGGAAAGAAGCTAAAAACTTGCTGCGTTGGCCAAAGTGAGCCCGTTAGGTGATCTTGATCTTGACTTCAATCTCCAAGCCTTTGTTAATATGGAGAATTACAATTCATATGAGATACATAGGGTCTTTTGACTCAGAAATTTAAAAATGTGGATATGATGTGCCAAAACTTTAGAAATACCCTCAGTGACATTCTCATGGTGGGAGCTACTCTTTTCTGGTATAGTAGTTACGCTTTTTCACTTAGGTATGTTTTAGTAATTTTTATTGATTTTATAGCCTTTGTAACTTTTGGAACCAGGTCTGGTAGTTTGATTTTCTTCCACTCAGTTAACCTTAAAAAGTAATTTAGACACAGTAGCTGAAGTGGTTGTGCTTTCAGATGTGATAAAAACAGTGATAAAGAGCACAGGTTTCCGGCTGGCATTTTAGACCTGGTTGGTAACTGGCATGTTGTGATTTAAGCAGTTTAACATCTCTGAACCTTAGTTCCTTTATCTCTAAAGTGATTAATATGTCAGGATTGTTGTAAGGATTGAAGCCGTGTATAATTCGGCCTAGTAAGGTCACAGTAAATGGCAGCTGTAACAATTAATCAAAGAACAGATTGCCATCCTTGATCTTGCCTAATGTGGTTTACGTGCCAGCCTTTCCTGGCTTTGTAATAATCACCTAGACTTTTGAGTTGGCCACTTAAGTGCTTCTGCAGTTCTTCAAACACACAGGACTCGGAAGTATCCACTGCAGACACAGCTGGGTGAACAGGCACCTCTCACCCCTTCACTGCTTCTCGCAGGCCTCCCGCCGCCCACTAAGGCTGCCAGCGGTGAAACAGGGTCACTTCCCAGAGGGAGGGCAGGTTTTTGTCAAGATCTCCAAGTAGCTGCGCTTCCAATAGGGCCAATCAATCAAGGTTTCAGGGTCCTTTAAGTTTTGATGATCAACTGAACACGTTGTTTCTATTCATGGAAAAAACATACAGGTCTGTAAAATGATGGAGCAATCAGAGAAAACAGTCTGTATTTAATATGTAAATATACTGACTGTTATTCAGTGGGCTTCCTGTGAGGTTGGTACAGTGAGTTCTCATGAAAGGCCTAAGCATAGATACTCACCTGATTCAGATGAGTAAACTGAGGGTTAGAAAGGTCACAGAACCTTTTTACAGCTCCCTAGCTAGTGCTAATGCAGCCATATTTTGGACCAGATTCTGCTCACTGACAACAAAGCAGTTTTTTCTAATGCTACTCAAAGTGCGGTCCTTAGACCAGCGCCTGAGCCACATTTTACTAACACCACATTAGGGGTCTGAGGATACAAGTGCCGATATGGATGGGAAAGCATCTTGAAGCTTTTAAAGCAGCTTACTGGAGCAATTTTGTTTCTGTTGAATCTAACAAAAAAAAATTGAGGCTTGTATTTTGTATGTCTTTGTTTTTATTTCATTTAGGAATTCATTTTTATTGTCTTTTTGAAAACGATACGCACTAAAATGCTGAAAATAACACAGCCCTTTACCACAGATAGCTTGAGAAAGCACTACACCCTTACGCCTGCTGCACAGAGACTGTCTTGACTCTCAGATGTAGGGACAACTTGCTTCCACTGCCTACCCACTGGCCTACCTACTCATGTGAATAGTGGCTGAACATACCTGATTATGTTTGCTTCTTTTTTTTTTTTAATTAAAATATAGTCAGTTATGATGTGTCAATTTCTGGTGCACAGCATGTTTCAGTCATACATATACATACATATATTCATTTTCATATTCTTTTCCATTATAGGTTACTACAAGATATTGAATATAGTTCCCTGTGCTATACAGAAGAAATTTGTTTTTTCTGTGTTATATATGGGAGTTAATATCTGCAAATCTTGAACTCCCAATTTATCCCTTCCCACTGCTTGGCCCCTGGTAACCATAACTTTGTTTACTATGTCTGAGTCTACTTCTGTTTTATAGATAAGTTCATCAGTGTCTTTTTTTGTTGTTTCTTAGATTCCATGTATGAGTGATATATGAGTGATGAGTATTTTCCTTTCTCTTTTTGGCTTACTTCACTTGGAATGACCATCTCCAGATCCATCCATGTTGCTGTAAATGACATTTTATTCTTGTTTATGGCTCAGTAGTAATTCCATTGTATAAATATACCACAGTTTTATCCAGTCCTGTCAGTGGACATTTCGGTTGTTTCCCTGTCTTGGCTGTTGTAAGTAGTGCTGCTATGAGCATGGGGGTGCATATATCTTTTCAAATTAAAGTTCCCTCTAGATGTATGCCCAGGAGTGGGATTGATGGATCATATGATAAGTCTACTCTTAGTTTTTTTGAGGATTCTCCAGACTGTTTTCCATAATGGCTGCACCAAACTGCATTCCCACCAACAGTGTAGGAGGGTTCCCTTTCCTCTACATCCTCTCCAGCATTTGTCGTTTGTGGACTTTTGAATGATGGCCATTCTGACTGGTGTGAGGTGATACCTCATTGTAGTTTTGATTTGCATTTCTCTGATAGTGATATTGAGCATTTTTTTCATATGCCTGTTGGCCATTTGTATGTCTTCACTGGAGGATTGCTTGTTTAGGTCTTCTGCCCATTTTGGGGTTGGGTTTTTTGTTTGTTTGTTTGTTTTATTAAGTTGTGTGAGCTGTCTGGAAATTAAGCCCTTGTCAGTCTCATCTTTTGCAATTATTTTCTCTCATTGCATAGGTTGTCTTTTATTTTGCTTATAGTTTCCTCTGCTGTGCAAGAGCTTATAAGTTTAATTAGGTCCTATTTGTTTATTTTTGCTTTTATTTCTATTGCCTGGATAGACTGTCCTAGGAGAACATTGCCAAGATTTATGTCAGAAAATGTTTTGCCTGTTTTCTAGAAGATTTATAGTGTCTTGTCATTTTTGTTTTGTTTTTTTGGTTGGTAGGGTGTTAATTAGGTTTACTCATTTATTTATTTTTTAGAGAATGTAGTGGGGATTGAACCCAGGACCTTGTGTATGCTAAGCATACACACTTCCACTTGAACTATATCCTCTATACCCTCCCCCTATAATGTCTTATGTTTAAGTCTTTAAGCCATTTTGAGTTTATTTCTGTGTATGGTGTGAGGGAGTGTTCTAACTTCACTGATTTATATTCAGCTGTCCAGTTTTCCCAACACCATTTGCTGAAGAGACTGTCTTTACTCCATTATATATATTCTTGCCTCCTTTGTTGAAGATTAATTGACCAAAAGTCTGCATTTATTTCTGGGCTCTCTGTTCTGTTCCATCAATTCCATTGATATGTTTTTTTGTGGATATGTCCTAAATATATCAACCAAGTCCAACTGCTCTGTTGTGTCATTTCGTATCTCCATTGTCTTACTGACTTTCTGTCTGGAAGATCTGTCTAATGATGTTAGTGGGTTGTTCAAGTCTCCCAGTATTTCCCATCAGTTTCTCCATTTATGTCTGTTGGTTTTTGTTTTATGTATTTAGGTGCTCCCATAATGGGTGCATATATATTTACAAGTGTAATATCCTCTTGTACTGCTCCTTTAATCATTATATAGTGTCTTTCTTCTATTTTACAGCCTTTCTATTAAAGTCTGTTTTGTCTGATACGAGTATTGCTACTTCACTTTCCTATCATTTCCATTTGCATGAAATATCTTTTTCCATCCTCTCACTTTCAATCTATGTGTGTCTTTCACCCTAAAGTGGGTCCTTGTAGGCAGCAGATGGTAGGCCCTTGTTTTATTATTCAGTCTACCAGTCTGTATCTTTTGATGAAAGCATTTTGTCCATTGACATTTATGGTAATTATTGATAAATATGTGTTTATTGCCATTTTAAACTTTATTTTCCAGTTGATTTGATGTTTCTTCTTTGTTTCTTTTTATTCCTTTTGCTTTTCTTTTAGTGGTTTGATCATTTTCTTTTGTATTGGCTTGGTTTCTTTTTGGTTTTTATGACTCTATTGTATGTTTTTGATTTGTAGTTACCCTGTTTTTCAAGTATGTTATATACAAACTACTATATCTGTTTGCTTTAGACTGGTAGTTATATAGGCTCAGACACATCCTAAGAAGAATGAAGGGGAAAAAGAGGGAAAAAAAAGTATATCTTCCTGCTCCTCTCTCCCACCTTTTATGATTTTAATGTCTTTTTTTTTTAATACCTTCATGTTTATTCTCTTGCAACTCACTGTAGTTATTGCATTTCCAGTTATGGTTTTGTCATTTCTATAATTTCCTGGTTTTCTATTTAGGGAAGACCTTTCAATTTCTTTTAGAATAGGTTTGGTATTGCTGAATTCTTTTTTTTTTTTCCCTTATCTGTGACATTCTTTCTCTCTCCTTCTAGTGTAAAGAATAGTCTTGCTGGATAGTATGTTAGGTTGCAGCTTTTTCTCATTCAGGACTGAATATATGTTGCCACTCCCTTCTGGCCAGGAGTGTTTTTGTAGAGAAATCAGCTGAAAGCCTTATGGATGTTCCATTGTAACTAATTCTTTGTTTTTCTCTTGCTGCTTTTAGAATAATTTCTTTAACTTTGGCCCTCTTAATTATGTCTTGGTATAGGTCTGTTTGGTTTCTTCTTGTGGACCCTCTGTGCTTCCTGTACTTGGGTATCTGATTCCTTCTTTAGGTTTGGGAAGTTTCCAGTCATGATTTCTTCAAATACCTTTTCAGTCTCCTTTTTTCTTTCTTGTCCTTCTGAAATCCCTATTATGCATAGATTGGCGCACTTTATATTATCCCATAGGTCCCTTTATTGCTTTCATTGGTTTTTACTTGCTTTTCTGTCTGCTTTTCTGATTGGGTGACTTCTGTTTTTCTGTCTTCTAAGTCACTTACTTGTTCCTCTGCAATATCTAGTCTGCTCTTGACTGCCTGTAGCTCAGCTCTTACCCCAGCAGTTGACTTTTCTGATTTTAATTGGCTCCTCTTCATATTTTCTAATTCCTTTTTATAGTATTCTGTATTTCTCTTAATAGTCTCTTTTTCCATCAGTGCTTTTATCACCTTGTTTTTGAACTCATGATCTAGTAGACTGTTGAGATCTATTTCATTGTTCTTTTAGGGGACTTCTCTTGTTCTTTTAATTGGGAGTGGTTCCTCTGCTTCATTTTACTTATTTTTTCTGACTCTATGGATTTAGGAGTATAAGTTAGCTACTGTGGTCTTAAAGGTTTTTGTTTTTTTGATTTGAGGTGGCAGCGTTCCTTTATAAACTCTGCTTATCTAGTAATTTTTTCGTGAGGGCTGTTTGTACTGTGGATGGTTGCCGTGTCTTTCGTCTGTGTGTGTTGGCTATTTTCCCTTTGATTGGGGATGTGATTGGTGTTGTGAGTGACCAGAGTCTGCCCTGGTTGTTGTTGAGCAGAGCTTCCTTTTATGTTCTGTGGTTGTCACAGCCCTGGCAGGGACTGCGGTGCTCCTATTTTGGGAGGCTTCCAGACCTGTTTCTGAGCTGCAGTATGTCATATGCCAGGTTGGAGTGCTTCAGCTGGAAGAAGAGTTACTGAGTATTCCTTGCATGAGCCGCCCACCAGGAAGTACCTTCTGGTGGTGTCTGTCACTTGTTATGCGGGCTTACAAGGTACTCTTTGTTGATGCTGCCCTTGTCCCTGCCTCAGCTGTCGGAATGTGAGCCACCCCCTCTGTCAGCCAGTGAGTGGTCAGTCACACAACTGGATCTGTAGTGTGCCACAGGGTTAGGGCAGGACCACACCCTGTGTCCACGTAAGATACCCGGCCTGCTGTTAATGCCAAGCCTGACTCTGCTGTGTGCTAGCATTCTGTTCATTGCTTGTTCATCTTTGAGGCTCAGGTCCACAAAGCACCAGAGGAGCAAACCCACCCCCTCTGCTTGGGACGGTAATTAAACCTTAGTGAAGTACTGGGCCCCTGGGTATGGATTCAGCTTTCAGCCCCTCCCTCTGGGAGCCTAGAACCAGGATTGTGATGGCTATGACCGAGCCCCACCTCTCTTCTCTAGAGGAGGTGCCTTCCGACAATGCTGCTTTCAACAATGCTGCAGGGCATTGTGCTCTGGGCTAGTGAAGACAGCAGCTATGGCCTGGCTGGTTGTGCCCCTCCCTGACATGCACCAGTAGTTGCTTTTGGGAGAGGAGGGTGCAAGGTCCAAGGTGTTCTCTTCTGCACAGGCTCCCAGACATAGCCCACCCCACACTCCTGCCCTGAGGCTGCCTCCGGGCAGTCAGCCCCAGCTCTCTCCCCAGGCTCATCACCCAGCTCCACCAGCCCATCACGGCCCACCCCTGCCGGCTTGTATTTAGGGTTGGAGAGCGCAGGGACCCCCATGCTGGTTTTTCTCAGTTCTTTCTGCCAAGCAGCTGCTGCTTTCTCCTCTGAGCCTCGGAACCTCCCTTGGTGTTCCAGCTGACCAGCGTAAGGGCACGTTTCCTCTTCTGCCACTCCCTCCCTCCCTCCCGCACCGATTTCTTTTTTAATACCGGTTTTTGTGAGAATCTTCTTGTGTTTCATAGTAAGAGATACTCTGTCAAAGTTCAGCAGGTGTTCTGTGCGAATTGATGGATTTGTAGATGGAATGTTCGATGTACTTGTGGGAGGGGGTTAGCTATGTGTCCTTTAATTCTGCTGTCTGGCACTGCTGTCTACGTTTGCCTCTTTCAGACTGCTAGTTGTCTTCAGAATAGATCACGGGAAGACTTGGGATCTTTCATTATCACCATCTAGTGGCTAAAATTGGGCAGTGCCAACTTCTATAAGGTTCTTTTGAAAATTGTTCTGGAAAGACAGTATTTTGGATTTCCAGAAGTACATTGGGGTAATGAGCAAAAACTCCTGTGCCAAGTTTTGTGCTAACTGCAAATCACAGACTAGAGTCAGTATCTTGTAGTAAGTAGCCTATAATGAAAAAGAATATGAAAAGGAATATATGATGTACATGTATGACTTGTACATCAGAAATTGATACATTTTAAACTGACTATACTTCAATTAAAAAAAACTAAATCACAGAATTCAGTTCCACAGCAAAGACAAATGAGAACACCTGTACATGGAACCTGCATACTATAGCAAGAGTCTAGTAGTGACATTAAAAAGCATAATTTTTCACTATTCCTAAGAATATTAATAAATGAAGAAATTCTATGAAAGTTAACATATAAACTCAAGTGACTGTAACACAGAGTGTATAGCATTCACTTAAGTAACTACTACTTAATTTATCAAACCTGTCAACTGTACTTACAAGATGAAGTAGGGATTTGGAATAGAGATGATTCAAGAACAAGTTTTTTAAAATGGTAGTTGGGAAACCAAAACATGGCCAGGCAGGAATCTGCCAATTAAATTTTGCTGCCCTTTAACAACTGTGTAACTTAATTGTGATTTCTATTTTTGTTCATTTAACTTGTAAATGTATGTAATTTCCTCTAAGAGAAATCATTTTGTTGATGTTTGAATTATACTAAAGCTTTAGAATAAATATATCCTCACCCATTAATTCTGGTGCCCCGTACTAGTAAGTGTACCCACAAAGTGTCATCATTTGCAGGTACAGGAAATTAACTATTAAACTTTAAATATCTGGAACCCTCAATCAATACTGGCTCCTTATTAGAAATCAGAAAAAAATTTTGATCTTAGTTTCATCCAGTTTTATAATTGCTCTGGCAGTACTTAATGCATTTTCTGGGGCTGTATTTCCTTTATGAAGATGACTTTTTTTTTTTTTCAAGAAACTGTTGGCACGTTATAGAAAGAGCAGTGTTTCAAAATCACACACATGCTTTTCCCTATTCACAGCCAAAGGCAAATGAGTTGGCTGAAGTCTGTTTCCCACATCTTCCTCATATTTACCCTTTACTGTCCAAATAGCACCCTGCCCCTCAGACCCTCTACATTTTCTCTCCCGTATTTAAAACAAGATAGGATGTTAATCATAAATTCTTTTACAGGACTGAGTATTCTAAGGATAAGCTCTTAATTCACTTTGAAGTAAAAGGCTTTTTTTTTTTTTAATAAATATATCATGTACGTCCTTCTTTAAAGGAAAGTTGGGTATCAGCAAGTAAGTAAAATTTTTCTGGCTGCTTGGAAACATTTATACCAGACCCACAATTAAACTAGAGCTGGAGTTTGTGCAGACTGTTCCCAGCTATGTATGGCGTAGTGATTACTTACAGCTTATTAAAGGACCTAGTTCAGGCCAGACCTTCTTCATACCAACCCCTCCATTCTAGTCTAAGCTTTCCCATAAATGTAAATTAATCTTCAGTCACAGCTATTTTTTCTGGCAGGAAATACTGTAAAAACACCTCCGTGCATGGGCGGGGCCTCGGATGGCCACGCCTTATCCACGTAAAGCACAGCTCTAATAATACACACCAGATTACCAAGGTAAATCGAAGTTTGTTTATGGACGCTATTAAGACAGGAGATGAAAATAATTTCAATAGTTTAAAAACGATTCTGAATGTATGGATTTATATAAAGACATTACTCTCTAAAAAGGCTAGCTGGGTTCAAAGACCCTAAAATTCTGTTTCTAAAAAATGTTTTATAAATTCTTATTCTAAATGCCTAATCTTGTATCTTAAAAAAGCCATCCTACCATAAATATTATTTAATATTAAACATTATATCCATCAAATATGGATTTGAAACTAAAACCAAAAATTTATTAAGTTGAACCTGTTTTAAAATCAGGTAAGTACATTTGTTTAGGTAGTTTTAAAAAACTAGTAATACAACAGCAGTAGTAGGCATCTTTATTCTCAGATTGATAAAAGCATTTAACATATACTTTACAGTATAAACATATTAAGAGCTACGCATTTTGCTTATAAAGTGACTAAAAGTATTTCAAGCATTATATAATTCAATTTGTACAAAAAAGTAAATTTCCAAATAAAGCTTTGGTTAGTAGAACTGATTATGTACTGTCAACCCATTTTCCAAAGTTGTTCCAGGAAAAAAAAGCTTCATCCACAAACAGGTATTTCTTGTACAAGCAGAACATTTTACTATTCAGTAAGAGGGAGGAATATTACAATAATTGCTTTTGATTTCCACATCTGGATCAGCCTTTTTTCTATATATTTGTGGCCAGAATACCATCACTTTGGAAAACATAAATTATGTAGAAAATCACATTTTACTTTATTCTTAGGAAGGTAATCTATTTTTAAAAACAGATTAGACCCATGAGACTCTTAGCTTCTGTATCTACCAAACTGCTTTCCAAGTTTCCAGCGTTAATATATTCCACTGGGGGTACGTTATTTCTTATCTCCCTTAGGAGGCTAATATCTGCCAGCACTAGTGCTAAGAATCAAAGTTTATATAATATCTAAAAACTAAATATGGCCCAAAACTTAATGTTTTTTTTTTACAGATTCTACAATGTATGGATTACCTTTATTCATATGAAAGTAATAAAAATACTACCTAACTTAAATAATATAAAATATCAGTTTAACCAAATTATCATAAAACTGCAGACATTTTTCTATTAAAGTTTTCCAGTCCACTGAGCAATATTTACTCAAAAATATGATTATGAACTTAAATATATACTCTTAAAATTACTATTTATGCTGAACTGTACACTGGTGCTCCTTTTATGATTTTTAAAAATTCTACTTATATAACTATGTAATTCCAAAATGTAAAAATGAGCCATCACTAAAATTCACTGGAGACTAATATTCTTTCATGAAAACAATTTATGAACAGTTTAAAGTTCTACCTTTATTTCAATTTGGCTTTTTAAAATAGGTAAACTTCTCATTTCAATTATTGTACAATACTTCAAAACTAGTTTAAACAAAGATGAACCCAAGGAGAATTGGTAAAGCATTCCTTACTTTACATATGATGCCCAAAGTGCCACATACATAGTAATATGTCACAGAAAAGAACTGATATAGTTTAGCAGATTATAGAGCAATCTAAAAGTTTATACAAAGCTAAACACTGCCTCCCTTCCATGTATTTTCTTTTAATTTGATCTTGGCTCTGTTCAGTATCCTCCTATAATAACCACCATGTGACATTTATCAGCTTTCTTTAAGTGTTCCAATTAATTATATATACCTCTTTAAACAGCTTTGTAACATTTTAGAACAATCAATCTTTTTCATTAAATATGGTATACCCTACATTTTTCCCACAAAATGCTCACTTTCCTGAGCTATATTAAACACCTTATAACAGGTGTATGTATAACTGAAGACCGTAAAATGTGAAGTTTACATTTTTGAAAACTGCATAGAGAACATAACAGTTTAGAAAACCTATTAGTACTCACTATATATTTTGCTTCCTTCAGACTGTAAAATGTTTAATCTTTATTACTAGTTATTACTTTCAGATCTGAATCACTTTTTTAAATTTTCTGAGATTTGACTGCTATTAGGCTGAAGAAACAGTTTTCTGACCAAAACTGGTCCATGGGTCTTCCAAAAAACAATCCTTACATACTCAATAAAGGTATCAAATTTCTGTGCCACAAAATAGTAGAATTACATCAGACCTACAAGAAATAAACTTACCATAATATAATATGCTAAAAGTTACGGTGCTGTATTCATTATGTCCTATGTCATTTGGTCTTTACCAAGTGGGCATCATGTCTGGAAACCACACTCTGCCGAGGTGCTTAGACACTTCCCAATGAATCTGCTCCAGACTATACTTTTGGTCAGGAACTAGTACCTCTTCCATAATGGATAACTGAGACAGGCGGCCACCGCACATCTTCACAAACTCAACAAAGGCACTACAGGAGACCTCGCATTCCCCTAGTCCAATAGCTGACAAATTTTTGCAACGTTCTGCAATGCGAATTAATTCTTCATCAAGCGGCCGTAATCCGTTAGCACATACAACGAGTTCCACTAGCCTAGGGCAGGTCATTCCCACACGGCCAAGCACATCTTTGCTTACTGATCTCCCAAAGTAAAGATGGGTGGCAGGTATTTCATACCGAAAGAATGGATCAAATTCCTCTTCATATAAAAAAAAATACATCACTAGGTTCACTTTGGGTGAATGTCTGATGAAAGCATCCCAGCTGCTCTTCTGAATAGTATGGAAGTGAGTCTGTCCAGGATTCTCACTGACCACATCTATGCGCAAATGTTCTAAGCGAACGTGTTTTTCAGAAGATAAAGCAAGCAGCAGTTCATCACTTAACAAGTGGTAATTCAGGGCCAGTTCACGTAAGCCGTGACACTGATCAGCTACACAAAGGATACCTTGGAAGAAAAAAGACCTATTTATAGAGTTTATTCAAGTTCATCATGTGTTCAAAAATTTAATCAAGTACATGTCCCACAACAGAATTTTACTACACTTCCCTTACTTCAAAGCTACATAGCTTAAAATTTAGTTGAATTCGACTGAACCAGCAGAAAGTCACACACATTTAAAAATCTATTACTAAGTCTGTAAGAAAATGAGACCAATTCTAAATCTGATACCTTAAAAGAAATGAAAGTAACTTATCAATTCAGAAAAATCATAAGTTATTAACTGTCATTTAAAAATATACCATGTCTAAGATTTATGCTAGTAATGCATGGACAATGTCATATTAAAAAAAATGATTACTAATACTAAATTTATAGGTTAGGCAAGAAAAATTACATGATCATTACAACAGAGGCTAAGACATTTTTTGAAATCCAAAACCTAATCCTAATTAAAACAATAAGGTAAAACCATATAAAATATGATTTATGTAACTAAATAAAAACTTTGGAAAATTAAAAAGATTTCCATCAAATAAGCAAATAGTTTAACTGCTAATAATAATAATACAGTAAGCTTATCAAATTTCTAAGAAAAAAGTACCAAGATATCACTAGATAAATGAGGCAAAAGATAACTACTTAATTCGAATTAATGGAAATATACATTATGACTTTTAGAGCTCTTTCATACTCAAAAAAGCAATTCCTTAAATAGTTCCTTATACTTAGGGCACTATGCTTCAAAACTGCCCAAAACCCCTAGCAGCACCAGCTTCTACCAAAGGTCAGTATCAGATCTCTGAAGTGGCCTAGTGTAAGAACTCTGCCCCAAAGACACCGTGATACTTGATACATGACTCACTCAAACCATTTCTTTCCTGTATTTAGAAACAAGGATAGGAATAACAAAACATACATCGTATTATCTACTACTTATTGTACAAGTATAATATGTCAGATACTAGATACGTTATCCCACAAATACTCAAAAAAATCTAGAAAAATAATTTTCTATTTTGAGGTTGAGGCAGCTAGCTAAAGACAGCAAAGCTGGAATTTAAATAGACTGAATGACTTAAACGTTCATGCGCTCGCCTACTGCACATGAAGTGACAAGACCCAGGTCACCAATCAGCCGAAGCTTTATTAGCAGAATACAGGCAACAGAATCAGTGAAGAGAGAAACTGAATCACCAGTATGAGTCACCAGAAGAGGGAGTTAAAAGACACTCGTGCTTTACTGTTTAGCCCCTGCAAAGTTTCTGTTCTCCACGAGGTACATGTATACACTTTGAAAATAAACTCTTATCATCCAAGGTAACCTGTACACATCTCTGTTCTTCACAATCTCATAAAGTCTGATATAAAAAGAAAACAAACACGTGAGAACCGGTAACCAAAGATGCAAATAAAAGAAACTTTGAATGTCATTTAGTAACTACTAAGACAGGTGTGGCTGGCATTAATTCTCAAGTTGTCCCCAAGATTCCACACCTTAACCTCTGGGACCTGACAACGTGATAAGACGATCACTCCCATGATTATGTTATGCTATAGATAGCACAGTTAGCTTTAAAATAGATCATCCAGGTGATCCTAATCTAATCTCAAGAGCCCTATCAAAGCAGTTTTCCCTGGTTGGTTGCATAAGTTGCAGAAGTCAGATTCAGAGCTTCTCTGGCTAAGTAAGCAGGGACGCCCGCTGAGCCAAGCCTCCAGCTCTAACCCTATAAAACCAAGGTGCTAATAAATGGGTGATGGCTTAAGCTGCTAAACTTGTAGTTGCTATGCAGCAATAGAAAACTAACACACAGTTACAAGTGTTTAAATACTTAACGGAAAATAGTGACGAAGCTAAAACTGGTAAATTATTATTAACTCAGTAATAAAAAGACAAATAACCTAAATAAAACACAGGCAAAGGATCTGAGCAGACGTCTCCCCAAGGAAGATATACAAATGGTGAGTAAGCATGTGAAAAGACATTTTGAGTCATCAAGAAAATACAAATCAAACTCACAGTGAGATGCTAGTTCGTATTTGCTAAGATGGCTATAATCACAAAGACAAATCGGGTTGATGAGGATGTGGAAAAGCTGGAACTCTCATACACCGCTAGTGAAAGTGTAAAATGGTGAGCTGCTTTGGAAACCAGTCTAGCAGTTCATCAAATGCTTAAACAGAATTAACTATGATTCAGCAATTCCACTCCTAGTTATACACCCAAGAGAAAGTAAGCCATACGTCCACACAAAAACTTGCATGTAATTTTCAAAGCAGCATTAATCATTGTAGACCAAATACCCATCAACCGATCAACAGTTAAATGTGGTATTACCCATACAATGGAATATCATTTGTTAATCAAAGAAAATGAAATACTGATACATGCTACAACATGGACGAACCTCGAACACATGATGCTAAGTGAAAGAAGCCAGTCACAAAGGACCACACATAATTCCATTTACCTGAAATGTCCAGAACGTCAACAGCGTCATAATGTAGATCAGTGACTGCCTAGGGCTGGCTGGAATGAGGGTTTGGGGAGTGGTGACAGCTAAGAGGTACATGGTGTCTTTTTGGGATAGTAAGAGTGTTCTGAAATAACTGCAGTGATGGAGATACTACTCTGTCAATACACTAAAAGTCAGGAAATTGTCAACAGTATGATACATGAATTATATTGCAATAAAGCTGTTAGAAAACTGGTATAGAAATCCATTGTTGGTGGTGTATGGTTCATAAAACTCACTTTGGAAAAAATACAGCAAGAAGCATAAAAAAAAATCCAAACCCTTTGACCTACTTCTCCCACTTCTTAATAATTTGCCCAGAGGAAGAAATTAACAGAAGCAAACTATCTGCCAAAATAGTTCACTTTTTAAATCACAGCAAGTATGTGGAAACAAGTTATGTATTCAACCGTAGAAGAACTACGAGGCAAATGTTGGCTTATCAACAAGACAGAAAACTAAGTAGCTAAATGTTCATCAGTTCCGCTGGTAACTAATGAGTGTCTTTTACGTTAACCATTTGTGGTAGGATGTCAACAGGAACAAGATAGCCTTATCCTAACAGAAGCTAGCCAGCAGATAATTAAACAAGAATGCTCCTGGAGTCATAACAAGGGAATCAGGGAGGAATTTCCAGAACTAACACGGACCTACAGAATTAGAAAGACCAAGCTAGCGCAAAAGTGGAAAGGGAGAGTGAATAGAATTTCCTGTGGGAACACTCAGACATGGAAGAAAACACAAGCGTTCTCAGAAATGAAGGGTGCTCAACACACAGTATGTAAGGCTGAAGTCCAAGGGACCTTGTCAGCCTCAGTAAGGAGTTTGGATCTCATCTAAAGTATAGTGAGAAGTTATGAAGCAAACTGGAGGGGAAAAAAAATCAGATTTATATTTGAGGAAGATTACTCTGGCTGTAGCATGGAAATCAAGTTAGAGAAGAGCAAAGCTGCATGTCAGGAAATCAGTTAAGAGGGTACTCACAAAGATTACAGGCCACACCAGAGTGAAGAAGAAAGGCAGACTATGTTAGTTTTGGCTGCTTAACAGAATACCACAGACTGAGTGGCTTTAACTATAAATATTTTTCTCAATTCTGGAGGCTTGAAGTCCGAGCTCAGGGTGCCAGAAATGCTGGGTTCTGGCTCTCGCCAGAACCCTTCCTAGCTTGTGGATGGCCACCCTTCTTGCTGTGTGGCAGAAACAGAAACCAGATCATCTTTCCTATCCCTTCTTATAAAGACACTCATCCCATTTATGAGGGTTCCACCCTTATGACCCACTTACCTCCCAACCCACTTCCAAAGACCATTACACTGGGGGTTAGGGGTTCAACATGTGAACTGGGGCAGGGGGTGAGGGGTGGAGGAGACCACCACTAACATTCAGTCCACAGCATACAGATTCAAAGCATATTGCAGTGATGGACTCACTAGACATCAGTGACTAAAGGGATGTAGAAAGTAAGGGAAGGAGGAATCAAGGGTGTCTGTCAGGTCCTTGACAACCAAATGGGTGGTGCCATTTACTGAAACAGTAAAAAGGGAGAAGCAAGGGATTTCAATAGGGGGAAAACAAAGTTCATTAGTCTGAAGTACCAGTGAGACATTCTACAGGCAGTGGGCCACTGGCAGCTCAACACAGCTCTGGAGCTTCAGAAACACTAAAAGTAGGAGGTGTTAACATACAGAACAAAACTGAAGCCACTGATGATGATGACACAGCCCAGAGTTTACAGAGTAAAACAAAAAAGAGCCCAGTACAAAACACAGTGAAACACCAAAATTTAAGGAATAAAAAGAGAAACCAGCAAAGGAAACAGTAGGGACACTTAGAGAGGAAGAGTGAAAATCAGTAACAGTAACTAGTGTCAAATGGTGCTTAGAGGTCCAGTAATATAGACAATTGTAAGGACTACATGAAATGGGAAAAAAGCTTGATAAAAATGTTCCGTGAAGAAAGCAGAATAGAAAATAGTCCTTAATTTCAACTTAGAGAAAGACACTGTCTAAATATGCAAAACATGGATAGAAAGAAAATACACAAGTTATTTCAAATAAAAATTCTGTATGTTTATACTCCTAAATTAAAATGTATTACAAGTGTTCTTTTTCTTCCCTTCCTAAACAACTAGTCTGGAAACCATTAAAGCTTGGTAAGACCAAACAAGCTTATACCGTACTGAGAATTGATGTAGATATTTAACAAAAATAGATGAACATGGGCTGTCCCAGAATGACCGCACAGTTTCACAGAGAAACCAGAGACCCAAAGGCTCCCATACAATGTGGTTAAGTGCTGCAGGTTACATTCAGAATGCTATGGAAACAGCAGGTGGGGGTCTAAACCAGAGAGGAGGAAACAGGAACAAAATCAGAACACGAACTGAATTTTGAAGGCCGGATTGGAGTTAGCCAGATGAAGTGGAAAAAAAAAGTTTTTAAGGTGTTCCACAAGATACAGTGTACTGACCTTACACACGTACAAAGAACTGTCATTACACAGGGCTCAAATAAAAGCTGCACGTGAGTGAAAAGCAAACAAGATTACAGAGACAGGTAGAGGTCAGGACACAAAGAACTTTGGACACCATGAAGCTATGAAGTATGGACCTTACTCATAGGAAACCTATACAGTAGATGGTTAACTGTGACCAAGGTCACAGAAGAAGGAACTGCAAAATCCATTCTTCTTAACTTCTATTTCAAAAAACTAGGAGAGTACTGCAACAGACCTCGCCATTGCCATCACCAGCCCCTCCGTGTGGGAGATGTGGGAGGACAGCAAGTGCTCTCCATCCTAGAGGGAATCATTCTCTTGGGGAAAAGCCAGGCTTCAGTTACGGTGACAAGGTGGGAAATGTTTTGTAAAGAGATCAAAACAGGTCTCCCAAATAACACAGCCAGAGTGTTGGGAGGGTGAATCAGGAGTAAAGCATCAGACCAAGACAAAGTATGGGGTTTATACTTGTTCCACAATACAAACCACTTGGAGGAGGGGATAGCTCAAGCAGTAGAGCGCATGCTTAGCAAGACTGAGGTCCTGGGTTCAATCCCCAGTACCTCCTCTAAATAAATAAATAAAAAATAAATAAACCTGTTTACCTACCCCCGCCAAAAAAAAAAAAATACAAACCACTTGAAGGCTAAATGATCTCAAACTGAGTACTGTAGTTAATACTTAGAAAATTCTGTATGAGAAGCTGGAAAGAGCTTTTGTAACGCTACTCCTCCATTTGATGGGCTCTTAGCTCCAAAATTCAACTTAGAAACAGCATTATCTTGCAAAATGTAAGGCAACGACTTCAGCACAACTATTCTCCCCCTACATAGTCAGAAAAAAGCAATTGTGAGGCTGCTCTGACTCAAAACCTACCCTGTTAGCTCAGCCACAATTAGAGAAAATTCTATTTTACCGAAAGGGGCACCTTAGGCAGACTGCACGGGTGTCACTCATTTTTTAAATCTATGCATTTTCTAGCACAGGCTGGACATAAATTGCCAAATAAGATTAGAAAATAAATTGAAAGTAAGTGTCTAGGCTAGGAATGCTACAAAATTTACACTATTGTATTATGACATTAAAAAACATTTTATGAAATAGTAAATAATCCTATTAACCCACCTTCAAAGTTAATGATCATAGTTCCCCCTACTTTGATAAATACATCAATACATTTTACTAAAATTATCTGGCAAAAACTGCAACATACCTGCTGGAGAGACATGAGGACAGCTGCTCATCTTCAGCAGCTTGAGTGTATCACTGTTGTTGGCCACTAATACTTTGAGGGATGGATCATCGACTGGGGTGTCATCTATCTTAAGTGAGGACAAGGATTTGGAGTTTACAAACACAACTGTCAGTGCAGAGATAAAGTGAGACTGAAAAGCGAAAAAAAAAGTTTCAGTTTTTACAAATGAGAATTGACGGGTTTTCATATAAGCAATTTGCAAAAACGCATTACTGGGAAGCGCTGCAACAGCGCAATGCCTGAAGGGAGGGCTGCCTGTACTCCCTCCTGAATCATCCTGTCAGTTGAACGGTTAGGTGTTTAAAGGCATGTCTGTATTTGAGCTCTGAAAAAACTTTACAAATTATTGCTGGATACTAACCTACAGAACGTTAGCTAACATACTCGGGGGCTTTATCAGTTGCCTTTCTAAAAACCGCATACTTATTTTTTTTATTTTAAAAGAATAGTTATTAGACTATCTCTAATGACATGCAGGATCATGTTAGAACATATATAGAAATATAAATAGTTAACTCTTCACCAAAAAAGTTTTCTGTAAGTAAAATCTGTAAATTAATCCAAGCTGTACCAACTCTGCTGAAGAATAAACCTTTATACACTCACCAGAAGATATTACAAGCAGGCTATACCTGCTCTCAATACTGGCACTGTTTACTTTTCTTTGATTATAATTTCACCAATTTGCTCTGAAAGTCCAAAACGGAGCTGTCTTTTTTCTAATATACTTATTTCTCAATTTTAGTCAGTCTCTTTTAGTACTTCCTCCAGAATCCTCTGCAAATTCACTCAGTCTTTAACATTACCCATAAGAAGCACAAGGTGATGGAAAAAAAGAAAAGCTCTCTAAAAAAATCACACAACATTCTAAACAGGCACTGGTTTTCCATTCTATATAGTACTTTTCTCATACCCTCACTATCAGTGCAAGAAGTGGGTAAGGGTTCCACTGGATTTCTCATTAACAGCTAATAAAACAAAACCAGCAGATACCTTTGGTAAATCCATAAAGCTTGGCCGAGCAGTTGAAATAAGTCCAAGTGTTTTTAAAGAGCAATTCACAAGCTGTGATAATATATCACAAGCTGCTTCAGCTGACTCTTTGCTGCTGTCCACCTGGGAAAATACAACATCCTTTATGCATGCATACGGTCACATTTCTCTGTGTATTTTTTAACTTTAAAAAGGCAGGAAACACAGTCATTAGTTTATTCCATTATAATTTAAAGATTTAATATTTATCCTTTCAATCAACTACCCTTACATATGATGTCGGCCTTTTCTGAATCCCCCTGAAAAACTGTAAGGGCAATTATCAAGACTTAACTTTCATTATGATAGGTTATATATTTAATGTTGAAAGGACTTGGCTTTTAAGCTTATTTATTTCAAGCCTGACTATATAACCTAATGGAAACATGAATTTATAATCTTTGAAAAATAATTCTATATTTGATAGTGGATCAGATCAGAAAGTACAGTGTCTATGGTACAAATGTTTCAAAATAAACCGAACAAATATTTCTCCAGAAGGTTCAGGTGAAACACAACCTGGTACTTCACCATCAACGTTATTAATAGAAAGATGAATGTGAAGTAAAATGAGGGCCTCCAGTAGTCAAGCATGAAAATTGGAACCAAATGAGAAGTGGCTGTACTTCTTCCGCAGAGACATTTCCTAGGGGAAGGGTAATATGGCCAAAACACCCTTAAGGATTTAAGAGGGAGCTCGTCTATCAAAAAGGAAGTTGTTCCCTGGGCTAAAAGGCATCTTTAACAAAGTTGTTAAAAACAGTATCATCACTTTAACTTCCAGATTGATGTACATTACCTTAACCCCAAAATGTTCTGAGGAACTTGTAATACGGATGTACTGACTTATATTACAGTTTCAGAGCTATTTATAACATTACCCTTAGGCTAAGTTTCTCGACACCAGTTCTCTTTTGAGAACTGCTGTGGTTCCAGATCAGCAGCACTGACAATACCTGGGAATTTGTCAGAAATGCAGATTCTCATGCTCAATTCAGACCACCTGAATCAGAAACTCTGGGGCTGACACCCAGCAATCTTTGCTTTAATAAGCACCCTAGGAGTTTCTGATGCACATAAAGTTTGGGAACCAGTGTTCTACACTAATAACTCCGATTACAAGCCTCTTTGGCCTATAGTCAGTGATGAGTCAAACACAAATATTATCAGGAGAGCCCAGAAAAACTCTGGGATGTGGCTTTTTCTGCAAATAAGAAATTATTTCCTCGAAAAATATACAATCTCTAATAAACATGTTCAAACTTATAGGACAAATGGTTTTGTGAAGGTCATGCAAGTTGGATACAGCTGAATTGTGTCACAGGCTAACTGACCCAGCCAATCCACCGGATGGAACTGGTCTTTAGACCTAAGAGTTAATGCATCAGTCATCTTTTTATAGGATTTACCATTAGAACACTCAGACAACTCAAAGATGACTGAAACCGAAGGGGAACGCTCTTCAGGTTTCCTCACGGGTAGGTGGGAGAGGGACAATACGTGAGGGTTGCCACATATACAAGATATCCAGTGGGACATATTTATACTAAAAATTATCCACTGATTATCTGAAATTCAAATTTAACTAGGCATCCTGTGTTTTTATTTGCTAAACCTAGCAATCCTACACTCAGTGTCCTAAGTGCCTTTGCTCCTGTTTTCTGGGAAAAGGGCCATAATACACCCAGCCATTCCTCAGCTTTCTCCTGGACACATACAGGAGAATAAACAGGTAATCTCCATAAAAGAAGGAAGGATGGTCTTGGAAGCAGACAAGACTTCAGTTTTGGCAAGGATCTCTGGGTTAAGAGACACTGTTTTATCTGGGTTTAACTTGGCCTGTTTAACAACAGCTACACATGGGGAAATCAGCTATTCACGTGTTACTTTTTAACAATGATTATCAGGTGTGTTAAGGATTTAGTAAACATGCCCACATTTCACTATTCATCCTCAAAACAAAACATTCCAAGCTTCTGTAGTCATACAAACCACTGTCATTCCTTAAACTATTCTGACATCTCAAAAAAACCACCCCACTTTATTTATCTCACCATTGCCTGCCTAACTTCCAACACGTCCCTGCTGGCAATGAAAAGAAACAAAAATAGCTCTCCTTGGCATTCTTCCATGTACCTTTTAAAATTTCTCTCTAAAATACACACACCTAAACCTTTTACATAAAGTTTCTATATCTCCTTTTTCTTTAAAGACCTCATATTATAAAGCCAGCAATAAGCAAAATTTAGTCCCTATTAGATAACAATAGCAATTAAGTTTTAGTCAAAATCTCCACATTTCAATTTTATTGTATATTTCTTTTGCCTCAGATTTGTTCGTAATTCAATATGACAGCTTTGGTATATGATTTATGTTTACTTAACAGTTGCTTCTGCCTTTTTTTTGGCAAGCCAGCTGTATTTTTATTTATATTATATTGTGAGCTAATAAGTGCTTTTTAACAAAGGAGAGGATAGTTTTTCTTACTTTTTATTTGTATTGAAGTATAGTCAATTTATGACGTTGTGTTGATTTCTGGTGTACAGCACAGTGATTCATTTATATGTGTGTGTGTATACATATATATATGTATGTATATTTCTTTTCATATTCTTTTTCATTATAAGCTATTACAAGGGACTGAATATAGCTCCCTGTGCTATACAGTAGGACCTTGTGCTTCTGCTCTTTCAAGAAATTATTAAAATTCATAATAAAATGGAGTAATTCAGCTCAATATAGTTATCTGTGACAGTTTCTAAGGTACACAATCTAAATCTTTACGTACTTTCCCTAAAAATGCAACAGTTTAAAGGCATGAGAAGATGTACTGGTTTAGAACACAAAAATCACTAAATATGCTTCATTTTTAAAAAGAAGGATTTAAAGTATTACCTTGAAGCTGACATACTGTAGATGGTTTGAATGTCTTTTAATAATCTGTTTGATCAGCTCTGGATGTGTAGCTTTCAAATAAGATGTAGCTGGCTGATTCAGTTCAAATTCAAAACATCTCCACAAGTCAGGCATGTGAAATACCTGGTTCCAGTTGCGGCAAACTTGGGAAGCATGAGCCCGGTCAAGAAGAGGCAAATACTTAAATACTTGGAGAACAATGTCCTGAAGGAGATTACCCCAGTCACAAGTCTGTGAATGCTCACTTGCAGTCCTCAGTTTCTTGGATTTCTCTGCAGTATCTTCTCCTGATGAATTATGGTCACTATCTCTTCCTATTCCTCGTTTCATCCTATGCAGAAAAATGCATCATTTTTTTTCATATTTAACTTTTCAACAGAAATAAATCCAAAGTTCACTGTGATATGTATATATATGTATTTATAAAGGCAAACACAAACATGCAGGCAGAACTAGACCACTAATTCAAGACTATCAAAAATATATATAATGAAAAATGCCACTAGAGACCAACTGTCGTTTTACTAACTTAATCTTGGGCAGGTGTTTTTAAATATTTGTATTTGTACTGTATTACTTGGGAAAGAAGTTTATCATAATTTTGAAACTAAACCAAGAGTTTGTATTTCAAAAATTGTTGTCAACTAAAAAGAATATAAAAGAGAACCTACAGTGACTCTCAAGATTTCTTAAAAATCATCAAGGATGCCTACTTATATTTGAGTTCCTGAATTCAAGACAGGAAGATAACCAGGAACCTCCAGAAAGGATCAGAATTAAGTAGCCAATAGATACTTCTACACTGAGTAGCCTGTGACATTTGTTACTGCCAGACCCAGTTTCTGCTTAAAATAGCAAATTCATCCCTCCAGTGCAGTTTGGTCTGGAATGTGTTTTCTTCTTGAACACACTACTTGCTATTGCAATGTTTTATCTAAGTTGTATTTCTGAATGATAGGTATGTGTTTATTCTATGTATTTGTATTACCTTCATTCTATTTGTTTGCCTGAGAATACCTCTGTTATTGTTGTTGCAAAATAGTAGTGTGGTTAAAAAGAATGGGTTCTGGAATTAAGCTTCCTGGGCTTAATTCCCAGCTCTCTCACTAGTTATGTGGCACTGAACTAAAATTACTTGAACTTCCTGTGCTTCAATTTGTAAAATGGGGCTATCAGAAACACACAGAGGCCCCTGTGAAGAAGTAAACAGTATTAGGGCTTTTAAAAGGAGATACCAATGATGGTGGAACTCAGGTATAGGAAAGCAGTCCAGTATTAAAGACATTCAAGTGCAAGACACAGTAGAAACAGGTTACCAACCAGAAGGCAAAGAACGATCCTAGTTTTCTTTTAAAATGGAAGTGTGTGTGAAAGTGAGTATGAAAACACAAGCTTATGTATGAGAAACACACACTGGAAACAGACGCACCACATTAACATAGTAACTGTAATAGTGGGATTATATTATACAGTATTATGATAACAGTGGGATGATAATAACAGTGGTAGAATTACAGGTGAATTTTTTTTTTTGCCGATATGCTTCTCTGTATTTTACACATTTGTTTTAATGTCAATGAATTACACTATCATCAGATTAAAAAAAGTCTTGTTTTGATTGATTTGGAAAAATAAGCATTGCAGGCGCTACAGAGGACCTGCAGAGCACTTGGTTTAGAACCTGCAGTACTTTGTCTCTGGAGAGCAGCTCTGGCAGGGAATGGTTTGATTTACAGTTACAGCTTTTTTCTTTGCAAAAGGATGGCCTGGGGCTCTGACTCCCTTCTGGCACATCAGCATGTAAGAATCGATTCCTGCGTGGGACAAATGCTGCACATATGTGTGGCTCTTAACCAAATATGTCTCTGCAGACTCTCTACCTAGCAGCAAGCAAGACTTGTGAAGGAGGACTGCGAGCTGGAGGAAAATGGCAGAGGACCCTGGCTTTCATAACATTAAAGTCAGCCCAGGAGGTCTTAGTATCTGTGCAATAAACTGCCTATTCCCCAATGCTCCTACTTCCAACCATGAGTTAAGGGAAGTAAATGATGTATATACAATTGAGCAGGGGGAGAGGAAGGGAGAAAACAGAATGACAAAGGTGATGGCAAGAAGGTAGTTTTATGGAAGACTAACTTACCTGTGAATCTAAGAATGCATGTTTTAAAATGTGTTTAGAGAAAAGGTAATAAAATCTACAATGTCATCTTAGATGTAAAACAAAACAAAACAAAACAAAACAAAAAACCAAAAAACCTCTCCTAGAAATGTTCTACTAGGGGTTCAGATAACTGTCATTATGACCCATTTTTTCTACTTTAACTTATCCTGAAGGCTTACTTTAATTTTAGCATATAAAATTTGGGTCAAAGAACAAAGAGTTTGCTACCTAAGGCTTCTAATTTCTCTTCTGACTATCTAACTATTCTATTGAAAAAAGAATGAAGTCCTCTTTATAATTTCTACTCATTACAGAATGCAGATCTTCTGTTTCTGGAGAAAAGGCTTCTAAAACCAGAACTATTCAACTTAGAGATGTAATGATTCATTTTTAAAGTACATGGCCAGAAATAAAGTATATAAACAAAAATGAGTCTTATTCACACAGTTATCTTTGCTAATACTTTGCTGAGCCTAACAACAGACACTTTCTTTTGTCTATTGCAGCCTGGTTTTAAATAAAGTATATTTCAATAACCTTTCCAAGTTGAGGGGAGAAAAAAGTTGACATATTAAAAAGAAGTATCCAACACTGAAGAATGGTTATCTCTTGATCTAGATATATGACCAAACAATCAGGAAAGTATATTTTAAGTACTTACTAGTTTACAAATAACTGAACAAAATTCTGTAAATTGTCATATACGACCTTAATATGTCAAAATTATAGTATATTAAGCAATAGGAAAAATGTAAGACCACACGCCAATAAAAATGGTCTCTGTATTATCCTTATTTATGCATAAAAATAGAAGAGCATAGTGGGCACCTAAGAAACATTTTCAATGTCAAACTTTTTTTCCAAGATGATCTCATTTATTCATGAAAAAATTTACCTTGCTTTTCAAGAGTATTTAATTAAATCTATTTACACATGAAACTGCTATAAAGGTAAACATTTCAGAGCATCCACCAGTCTGCAAAGAATCTACTTCAATGGACTATTCATTTACTTTGTCAAAGTGAAGACACCTCTTACATTTGAACAGGAGTACAGAGGACGATAAACGTCTCTGAGACTTTGTAGAGCACCAAAACTAGGCCTCTCTCCGCAGTTCACTTCAAACTGCAACTTCTCCAGACCCCAAATCATCTACGCAACTTAGGCCACTCAAAGCATTTGGTGAGGGACTGATATTCCTACAAAGCGTCAAAAAGCAAACTAATAAGGAAAGATTCCAGACTAACTGAGCAGCACAGGGAGCTACAGAATTAATTCTTCACATTTCCATACATTCTGAAAGGAGCAGTCAACTTGGTCACCATATGAAGAGTCGAAGACTACTTTTAGTACACTGTGCTGTGGTCATTTTAAAAGCCTCTTTGTATTTAGCTATAAAAAGCCTGTTTTGGCATCACAGTTCCTTTCCATTTATGTCCTGCTTTGACTAGTAACAAAATTAATGTGCATTCGTTGGCTGGAGTACAAGACTAAAACGGGGGAAGAGATTAGCCCTCAGAACTAGACGGTAGCAGAGGGTGGTGGTGAAAATTTGTTTAGCAGTCATTTGTAGTTAAGTGCGAGTCGATGGCATTTGTATAAATATTTCAGAGGTGTTAGAAAAAAGACTCCAATTAAAAGATCTGGGCCATTCGATTCGGCATCACCAGCAAAATAACAGTAGTCATCTAATTTCTTAGCTTGAAGATGCAGGCCAGTCATTTGATAACCTGCTACCTGATCCTTGTCTGCAACCCCACCTGAAAGGACTGCTCTCGCCGAAAACAGGCGCGAGGCTGCACATCCAAGTTGACCAAGTTTTCCACTTGCTACACGGCCGGGACGTCCCCTCCTCCCTGCGCCACCTCCACGGACTGGCTTTCCCTGACACTTCCCCTGCGCAGTGCTACCCTGGGCAGTCTGCGCCTGGTTACTCAAGCTACGTGCAGGGCCCCAGCCGACACGGGGAAGAGCCTGGCAGAGCCCCACCAGCCCGCACTCAGGGTAACCAAGCGGGACGCCGGGCGCGGCGGTGTGGCGGGGAAGCTGCACGCGGCCCCTGCGCACGCTCCACGCCTTGTTGACATGTTTGGAAGCAGGCACAGCGGGGCAACGCCCCCGAGCAGGCTCCGCGGTCCGGGCGCCACGCG